CCCCCCCCCCCCCCCCCCCCCCCCCCGGGCACACGCCGCTTCTTTCCTCTTTGGCTCACCTCCGACAGCCCTGGCGACACCCATACCGCTCCACGACACTGTACAACCCCCTCCCCTCACCCCTCCCCCATCCACCCCGTCCAGACCTTTCGGACCGTCCAAGAGGACGTTCTTCAGCGACCGCTTCAACCTCGGAGGGCCGATGACGCTCCGCGGGTTCCCTTTCTACGGGGCCGGACCGCGGTCACCGAAGGAGGAGGGGGGCTGCGAGGGAGGCGACGCTCTGGGAGGAGACGTCAGATACACCGGTACGTGGGGTCGGTCGGTCGTAGAAGGACGTGAGGTAGCGGGGGTGACGCAAGCACGCTCTGCTGTAGGAGGGGGTGTGTCGGATACCCTGGCGTGCGTGAGTGTGGATTTTGCGGCGGCTTTGATTGAGAGACTGCTCAACACCCCCTCTCGATTGACCATCGATTGACCATCGATTGACCATCGATTGACCATCGGCGATCCCTAGTAGTCCTGTGGGAATAATGCTCCGTCCTCTGGAGGGCGCGTGGTCAACGGTCTAACAGCTAAGGCACGCAAAACATGAGTACCCCTCCCCCCGTTTTTCGCGCACGGCGCCCCCTTCCCGGCGGCAGCCTCGGCGTCCTTAGGGTTTCCTTTTCCCGTGCCGGCGATGGCGACGGCTGGTTGGCGGGGCTACCTCTTCACTAACCTGGGCAACCTCACGACGTGGGACACCCCGTTGAAGCAGTACGGGCGGGACACTAGAGTCTCGGTCGGGGTCGCCGCGGCCTGGAATTTCTTGGGTGGGTGTGGACATGCCTACCTTGCTGTTGCTGTTGCTGTTGTTCATGTTGCTGTTTGAGGTGCTGTTATGTTGAGTTGGTAAAAGGCTTATAGCAACACGCGTCCCGCGCGTTGGTGCAAAGGTATGAAGTTTTCCTGCACACCCGTGCACGACCTCCACCTGCCCGTGTCCCTGCGCCTGCTTTCCCCTTTTTTTTTGTCGACCGACCTTCGTGCTTGGCTGGGGCGTTGATGTTATCATCGTAGTCGTTCTATTCACCATCGCTGTCCCGTCTGAAAGCGTCACCCTTGCCCTCCCTCTTTCGAAACCTTTTTGTGGGCGAGAGCACCAGGTGTCGGCAGGCTAGAGATCAACTACGCCCACGTGCTGAGACGATCACCTCGCGATCTCCACAGGGAAAGGCCTCTTCAGTTTGGCTTCGGCGTTTCGTTCGAGTAGAATGTGGTAGCATGCGCGTAGAGAGGAAGGGGCGACAGGAAGAGAGCAATCGAGGAGCTGGGGGTGGGAGGGTGAGAGACGGAGATGTGATCGGATCGTGCCATGTTTGGTCAAAACAGGTCCTTGACCTGTGCGGATCGTGAAGGGACGTGTACGATGTAGAATTGATTGGACGTGATGGTGCTGGCGTGTTTCGTGTGTTTCTCTGGCTTTTGGGGAAAGGTTGCTTTGATTGGAGCGCCTGCACGGCCGAAGCGTGTGTGGCCTTCGCTATCTTGAGTGACAAGAGTTTTGGGTGTTGAAAAACGCCGGTGGGTGGTCAGCGGCAACGCCGGGATCGTTTTTTTTTTGTTCTCCGAGAGAGGGAGAGCCAAGAATGAGTGAACGATTTGTCACCCCCGAGACATCGTCGACGTTGTCTTCGCGGTGACGGGTGTTTTCACACGGTAAAAGTGCATCGCTTCCAGTACCTCCTCTTCTTCCGTCCTCTTGAATGAAAGCGACAAAGCACGGCCAAGAAGAAAAAATCTTGCCACAAAGCGACGGTTAATGAAGCGATCGAAAATTGTGCTTTAAACGTCTGATAGTGTGGTGCTTGTTCCACCAGGAATTACGATTTCGCTGCCACCGCTGTTTGCTGCTGTCTTTTAGCTGGATGCCCAACATGCAGTGCGCGCGCAGCAGAGCTTGATTTGTTTTCCTTGCACACAATCTATGCATAGCCCAATCTCACGCGCCCCTCAAAAACAACAGCGTTGTTCGGGGAGATAGTGCGGGTGGACGGGTGAGACCCCGCCATTCCAGCCGCTCCCACGCTGCCATCTCTTTTCCGAGACAACGCACGCACAGAAAGAAAAACACCTACCCCTACAGGGGGGTGTCAGGCATCCGTCTCTACTGCAATTCCCAATCGAAGAACGTATACGCTTCCCCATTTAGGGGTTGTGCGTATCTCAAAGCCCCACGGGAATGCCAGAGGTCCTTCCTTCCCTTGCAGGTGGAGAGGTTTGGTTTCCCACAAGGAGACATGCCTACCAAGACCCAAATCTGGAAATCCACGAAACCCAGACAGCCCGGTTGTACTCATAGTCGTGCATGCCGTAGTCGTTAGACCATTGACCTCAGACAGCCGGGGAGGGGGGATTGCCGTATCTTCTCTATGTCACAAAGATCCAAGACAGTTCCTCGAGGACATCTTGGGTATTTCTCCTGCCCTAAAAAAGGCAGCAGCAGTCTATCGGAATACCACGCGGCTCAATGGACCGGACACATACCACAATTTCACAATTTCTACCTGTATCGAACAAAATTCAAAGGCACACAAAAACGACTACGAAAACCCAAAGTAAACCGCTAGAAATACGCGTTGAACTACTCTTCTCCGTCAGTCTATGCTGCAAGTCTACCGCTACAAGTAACCTGCGAGCGGATATATGATCCCACACGGCTCAGTGACGTTTGACGTTTCCACCAAGTGACATTGCCATTGCAGCTTTTCTATGTTTCTCTGGCCCACTGGATAAAAAAAAAAAATCACGCATCGCACTCCGTCAAACCACAGATAAGACACAGCGACGTGACGATTATCCTGTTGCGACAAATTCTAGGCCATGAATGATCATTAACATAAACTAGTCATAGTAACGACCATCGCACCTCGGAACCGCGGTGTGCTCCCTCCCGTCTTCAGGTCGCTTCGAGCTTTCTCTGCCCTATTCGCTGCGTCGCGCGCAGGCAAGCGTTGGACAAAATTACTCTGCAGTGCTACAAATCCAGACTTCCTCCCCAAGCAGAATGACGTTTGTCTATCCGTCAGCAGGTTAGCGAGGTCGATGTCGACTGAAGAACCACAAGAACAAGAACACACACACGCACATGCATCCACGTGTGAAATACCAAAACCTTAAAACGCGCACACAGATATATCTCGTGCGTGCAGCTACAGTAACGACTCTCTCTTTGTTTTTACTCGTGGACCTGCTTTACCCCTGCAGATGAACACCACCGACCGCCACCATCTCTTTACGAACTCGCCACAAGAATCGACAAGAACAAGAAACACACGCCATAGCGAGAGAGGATACTGACGAGAAAACCACCAGCGTCAACTGTCCGCCTAACTCTCCCTCCGCTCGGGCATAAACGCGCGGGCGGTGCGATAAATAGGTGCACGAAAGTGCAACTAACTGCAATACAGAAACGCACGGCCGTGCCGACAACAACAAAAAAAACGTGCACACACACTGCTGTTGTGTAACACAAAAAGCAGTCACAGAAAGACTGTCCCGGGAAAATTCCTCACGGTACCAGCCATTCCGGCAGACGAGCGGGAAGAAGGCGTGTGGAGGTAGAAAACACAAAGAACGCGAAACCAACCACCACCGAACCATACTTTTCCCGCGTCACAAAACAAGAAGTAAGGAGGGAAAAACAAACCATGGGAGACGGCCGGTGTCCCGGGTAATGACGTCATGTTTTTACCAGGAGACGGGGAGTGACCCGTTCCCGACCCTCGTGAGGTAGTTCGGAGCGACGGAACCATAATCGGTTCCGGATTCGGGAGCCGAGGAGGAGGAGGGGGAGGAGGAGGAGGAGCGCCGGCTGACGTGGAGGCCGCACAAGCGGCTCGTGGCGTCGTCGATATTTACGTAGCAGCCCTGGAGCCACCGCGAGCCTTTCTCGGACGTTGTGAACGCCTGGCGTTGTTCCGGAGGACACAGGGAAAGAGACCCAAAACGAAGGGGGGGGCGGGGGGGGCGGGGGGGGGGGACTCATATAAAAGTATGCCATGGAGCCATACAGTCGTTAGACCATTGACCTCGCATCCTTACAACCTTCGGACAGAGCAAAATGCCGGGTTTCCACAGGCCCAGGCTACGTTCCACAAGGAGGGACCAGAAGCTGCCCATCATCATCCTTGCGTTTGCTGTACCAAACCAGATAAATTGGGGGCGGTAAGGAACATGAGGGGAATTGAGAAGCGCACAAGAGAGGCATGGGCACAGGTACACTAGAGACTTGGGAGCAAGAGAGAAAGAGAGACAGAGAGAAAGAGAGAAAGGCCCTTCCAAGAAGAGAGAGAGAGCGAACGGCGTCCTGCCGTCTGTCTGCTGATACCACCACTACTGTGAGAGAAAGGAGCAGCAGCAGCCAAGAAGAAGCCATCCATTCTGCACCTGAAATTGCAGTAAATTCCGACGGCAAGGTACCTTCGCCCCCGGCAGCAGCAGCCAAGAAGAAGCCATCCATTCTGCACCTGAAATTGCAGTAAATTCCGACGGCAAGGTACCTTCGCCCCCGGCAGCAGCAGNAAAGTGCTTCATCATCCTCGTGTTGAAAGAAAGACGAGGTGCACAAGTGGAGTGCCTCCTTCTCCGAAACAGGAGGCAGACACAAACCCAAACTCCTCGCGAATACCCCCCGCGTCTCCCCGTACCTCGCGGCCGTGCAGCATCCTCCTGTTGTTGAACACTAGGCACTGCCCCGGCTTGAGCCTCTGCCGGACCGTGTGGCTCTCGGCGTAGGGCCCCTCCTCGACCAGGCGCTGGAACTCCCTGTAGGCCAAGTAGTATGGGACCACGTCCTGAGGCTGGCACATGAGCACGCCTTCAAACATTGGTGCCCAGGTCACCGCGAGAAGCTCCCCGTTAGCGTCCAACTGGCGGTCACGCGCGCACACGACCGGGGGGGGGGGGGGGGGGGGNGGGGGGGGTACTAACGTAAACGCATGCCGTAGTCGTTGGACTACTGACCTCACATCCCTAAACGGGGCGATATGCCGGGTTCTCGCCGGCCTAGGCTACGTTTTTCAAGGAAGAACCAGAAGCTGGTCATCATCCTTCCGTGTGCTGTGCTAAACCGAGGGGCGGGTTGCACGCTGTTAGACCATTGACCACGCGTGTTAAAAATATCAGTATCAACTGAAGGACGACTGCTGTTGTAGGTATTCTCTTGAAAACACAGTATACGATGTCACATATATTATGAGCCATTTCAGTGGCACAAAACGTACCGGTATCAGTATACGTGACACGGCACACTAAACTTCAACTTTAACAACAATATATCAGGACAGGTATCTAGAACGATCCACTGATGGATGCGGCAGATTCCGTAATGGTTCGTAGAATGTTTCCTAGATCGGGCATACTTTCCTAGAACGGTTCTCAGGAATATTCTCAGGAAAACTCCAGAGAAAGATTTAAAAAGGTTCCCGGAACGTTTCCAGAACAGTACTTTTGGTCTTCTAGAACGGTATTTGGTTCCCGGAATGTTTCCGGAACGTTTCCGGACTGGTACTAAAGTTTTTTCGTAGTTTCGTCGGTAATCGACAATAAGGCTGACCAGGTAGAGGGCACGCCCCCCACCGGAGCTCACTCTGTTTCCTGCCCAGCTCAACAATAAAACAAAACTGCTGTACAACATCTTTTTCTAGTTTCTCTTTGAACCAAAACCTCATTTGGTTGTAGCCTCACGTCTACAGTGCACCTTCGCACACCTGTCAACAAGGTGTGGCACACGCTTCTGTTACCTTGCTTGCTCACTGCTGCTACCGCCGTAGCACAGGTCACTTGGACAGGTAGACTGCTGACTTGCGTCTTCAGCCTGTCATCTTGTTTTTAGTGAGGACCACTTTTCAGCAGATATGACGTTCGCTGAGAAGAACACAAGGAGCAATCAATCTAGCACAAGCAAAACCACCAGGGAACTGTTCCTGACTACACAGTCTTAGCAGATCCTACGCCTTTGATTTCCAACAACGCGTCCTCGAGGAACCGACGGAAGAGGGGGGATACTACCACTTGAAAACTTGAAAACATGGCCGTAGTCATAACTACAGCTGTAGTATTCGGATCATGTAGTCACCCCTTCACAGCGTCACAGCAGTGCCAGGACAGGGTCGAGGCATTCATCCGCCGACCAATCTCGCGTTCGTCCTATATACCACGGTACTGTATGCACCCATTGCGCCAAGTGCCGGATGAGCGCCGTCGGGGCTTCCGGGAGATGGGGGGGGGGGGGG